AGAGTTTAGCCATTATTTATTATATTGTCCTAGTTTTGCTTCAGCATGTAGAAAATTTCTGGTGCCTCTCTTGATAAGAAAACAAATTTTGCTTGATTCATATAAAATTGAATATCTAATGAATTTAGAGAAGGCAATGCAATGGAAATTAGCAAGTTTTACATGGGCTGCTGCTAAATAAGAGATAATATTTATCAAAATGTCCTAATGTTTTCTAATATTTTATTTTGTTGTAATAATAGTGTTTTCATGTTTTTTCTGGGCTTTGTGCCTTTTAATGTATTTTATTAATGCAGGCCATTTTTGTGCAGGTTCTATACTGTTTGTTACAACTGGTGACAAAAGAATAAATAAACTGATTGATTGACAATGCTGTCTTAGTAAATTAACAAAAACATATCCCCCCCCACACACAAATAGGAGGAAGCCAATAGTAATCCAAATGAAGCTACTTTTCATAATTAACCACAAGCAGCACTGTGGATCCCAGAAATGCTAAGAGGTGTCCATCCAATACGAGGTAGGATACAAGTCTGGGATTGGTAGGTTTTTCTAAGAAGCATTTTTGAGGCTCTCTAGAATAATATTATAGATGTTCAATAGACTATTCAAGGGGACAACTTGGAGGGAACAAATATGTTGATAAGACTATTCAAGGAGATAGTTCGGAGGAAACAATTGTCCTTCAAGTAGCCTTGCTTCAAATATTTTAGAGAAAAGCCCACCCAAAAATAAACAGCAATGCAAAACTAGTAACAACAGAACTCTAAAAAATGCTATACTCCAAGGCTCAGTGAGTAATCTTGCAGCAAGATCTTCTGCCAATTCTTGCATAGGAAGTCCTACTTCTGCACCACAATAACGGGAAGGATCTGTACTATTCCATTTGCAAATGGAAAGTTTATTTATTTTTATTTTTTTCCCCTCACCTAGTTTTTATACCCAATGACCAAAATAAATAAATAAATAAATCCAGAGCAAACCTTATTACATCTCCAGAAAAAGTAACTCTTGAGAGAATAACACAGCTGCTACCGTCAGGATAAATTAGGATTTCCTTGTTTAAGATACAAGAAGTGATGTGCATGTTGAGACTCCGTACTGGCATCCTTCCATCAGGAACAGTTTACTGTTGTAAACTGCCCTGGGTGTTCCATGTAGATGTATTAAATAAAAAGTGAAGAAATTACTTAGCGGTATCTATAGTCAGTCTTATATCCGCAACCTAAAAATGACACAGTTGACTCTAATATGTGTCTGAAATGAATAAAGAAGTGAACAGGAGCGACCTTTATCTTATATAGTAAGGTAACTTTGACAGAGCCATTATTATTCATAGATTCAATAAAAAAGACCCCTTTGCTGCAGTTAGCATAGGAGAAAGTAACTGCGACACAGTGTGTCCTTGAGACTGGAGAATGCATTGGAAGCCATCTGGAAATCTTTTTGGGCCAGACTGAACGTTTAGGAGCCGGTTGGCTACTTCCCATTTCAAATCCTGTGGGGGGTTTTCCCTTCCATACAAAAAATAATGACTGTGTGTAACCACTCACATTAACTTAGCAAACCAAAACCATTATGAAACTACCAGTGAATTTAGCACACACTTCCTCTGTCAAAAAGTAGTTCCACTCTAGCGAAAACATGAAGAAGGGTGCAGTGAACACTTGCCGATTATAATTGCTCCCCATAGGTCGAAATGTTAGAGTAGACCAAGGGAAGCAAATAGCAAACTTTAAATGTTTACCCCATGCAGTACTTACTTGCTAGATAACTATGTTTCAGGCATGCTGCATTTTGATAAAAATAATTAGACCACCATTCGCACTTAGAAAACACAAAAGCAGTTATTTCTTGGGTTGGCATTACTAAAGCTGTTTCTACATAATCAAGTCCTTTGCCATGTTTAGCATTCTTGCTAGGACTTGATTATAGTTATTAACTCCAAAACGTATCATCCCTGAACTGCAGTACGAGGCCAAAATGACTAGCTACAGTCTCCTGAGTAAGAGGGAAAGCTGTTAAGGGGAATACCACTCCACATCTCTGCTGCTTGATGCACTAATTCAGAACAGGGTGTTGGCCACATAAATGCACCAATCTTAAGAAAGTGCCAAATCTGGGCTGCTTTGGGATACCTGGTCTCATTCAAATATAAAATAACTTCCCAATATAATGCAAAATTAAATAATGGCAATTTGCAAGCCAATCCAGATGGGAATCCCTGACAAAGGATCAAAAGTGGTGGGAGCTTGATGGCCATTGTTTGATACTGGGGCACCACATTTTTCTGATTTGTCATCCTTCTTCCCTTCTACTGCCCTCTTAAACTACCTTCCAATTGATTGCAAACCACATTCCCATCGTAATGTCTCCCAATTCTTGACAATGCTTACCATGCATCCCTGAATGTATAGACAGTATCATTCTTTTTATTATTTTTTTCGCCCCCCCCCCCCCTTTTTTTTTAATGATGCACAATATCATACTGTCAGCCCTCTGAGGCACTTCAGGTCAGAAATCAAACCCTGCAAGGATGATTGGAACTCCATTGTAGGCCCATAATAACACAATCTTAAAAGCCTGCCAGTTGCCCTTCATCCTCTCTTATGGCATGCAGAATTGAGGCAGGATTATTTTGCTTACGCTTCCTTCTTTCCCAAGGCTGAGATTTCACGTACAGTCTCTCTTACCTTTTTAAGGTTTTTGCATTTGTTTTCTATCTCTACTTTTCTCTATATATACACATCCCTTCAGCACTGCCTCAGAGTCAACTGAGGCTTTTTTTTTTTTATGGTAAATGAGTCCAGAATAGCAGACACTGATCTCCAGGTAGTACAAAGTACAAGGATGCAGAATAGACTTCATTATCACTTGTTTTTGTTTGGTTGTAGAGTTCCTTTCTTTCTTCAAAGAATTCTGGGGAGCATTCATCAGTATGTCCATCCCTGTCTATCATATATAACAGTAGTTGTAGAGGAGCCCAATAGCTAAGAACAAATGTCCTAATTTGTATTTGAACCCAGACCTCCAAAAATCAAGTCCAGTAACAATCCTTTCTCATTCAGGTCTGTTCCTTTCACCTGCTCATTCTGAATTTTATGCAATGCACTCCTATTTAGGAAAGAACTCCCACTGAGCCCTAAATGGATTGAATCTCAAGCAAGAATGATGAAAGATTTAATACCATAAAATCCTCAGCTTGCTTCCCCAACATGGGAAACAGAAAAATAAAAGCAATGCACTATGAATAATTCTAGAGTTTTGAAGGAAAGAAACTGCCCCTTCCAACTTAAAAGATATTTTCATTTGACCAAACAAGACAACTTCCCAGTGGTCACCTAATATATTAAGCCATAGTTTGATTGAATACATGTAGTGAATAAACCACAATTGGTTGTTTTTAACTTTCTTAAGCAATAAAGCATGGTTTAAGTTTCATTTACAATGACACATTAAACCAAATTCAAACCAACCACATTTATGTTTTTCCTAAAACTACGGTACTAGATTAGGGTTGCAAAAATCTGGGTAACCCCGTGGATGGCAGCAAAGATTTTGCATTTTCTGTATCTCTTTGCTTCTATCTAGGGGTGATCTGGGATTCTGCAGCCCAGATGGAGTAGCTTTGGGCCTAAAAACACGCACAAGGCCAATTTATTGCATACTTTCCCAAATATTAATAATATTCTTAGGCCACGTTGGCAAATGAAAGAAAAGCGGTATATTAAAGCAGTCATGAGGAACTCAGGCTGTTGTTGTAAGGGTGACTTGGCTTTAGGATGATGGACAAGAGAGGATAAAATAACAGTAAAGCTAATGTTTCTTGCTGGCTTCAGGCCAGATGCCAACCTCTCTCTCTCTCCCTCCCTCCCTTGTTGACTGAACATCCAACTGCAATTCATAAGAAGCTCTGCCCTCAGAACATGCCGTGCCGCTTCTCTGCACCAGCAGATGGGTGAGTGCATTGAAAACACAAGTCCCAGTCCCCCCAGCACTAACACAGGATGATGACATACCAGCACTCCTCAGGAAGAAATGAAAAGCGGTTGGAGCAATCCAACTGCCTGCTTCTAATCTATCCATACATTTTCAACAGCAATACTAGTGTGAATGACAAAAGAAAAGCTGGATTGGCAGAAACTGGAGCACACCTGAAAATCTGTACATTTCAGAAGGACCACAACTTCTGAGAGAAAAAGCTTCTATACTGTGTGATTAGGCTCCAACTTCTCTCATTCCTAGGAAGTATAACCAAGATGACAGTTGTCACCCCATATCCTCTAGCAAGAACCCACAGCAGGAGCCTTTCAAAACTCCCAGAGAGAAGAAACTCAACTCTTTTGCAGCATAATCAAGACAGGCTTTGTGACTGAGTTTGTCGATCAGAAAGGCTGGTGGTTCGAATCCCTAGTATAGGTCTCCTGCCTGAGCAGAGGGTTGGACTAGATGACCTACAAGGTCCCTTCCAACTCTGTTACTGTTACTCTCCAAATACTAGCACATCCATTATGGCCTGAGACCTGAGTTTAGGCAAGAAAAACTTCCTTAGTTGTTAAACCAGTTGGCAACTTGAAGATAGGTGACTTCAACTTGAGGGAATTGGGGAACTTGGGGAATTATGAGAGTTGAAGTCCATCCATCTTCAAACTGCCAAGGCTGAGGAAACACCGTGTTAAACTAACGCAAGGCTATGTATTTACACATATTAATATAGATGGGCCAAGTATTTCTTCCTATTATTTTCTATACTCCAAAGGAAACTTAACATGCAAGTCCAATCTTACTTATTTGTTTTTGTTACATTTTTAGCTCCCCTCCAGGCATGCTCTCAAGGCAGCTGCTTAATCATTGGTGTGATTAAGTGTATAAGTGATTAGGTGTAAAAAAAAAAAATTCTCCTCCTTCCCCTGCTTTGAACATTATCCTGCTAAGCTCTGCATCTTCATCTCCTCAAGCAGTGAAATTATTTTATGTTTGAAAAAGACAGACAGAATAGATTATCTTCAGTTGTGTTTTATTCAAACCCTGTATCCCGCTGAGTGGGTGAGGTGAAATAGGACAGATTCACCCCCATTATACCCCCTCGGTCTGTGCAACTCAAACGTTAAGCTCCAGAGATACCTCTTGCTATATAGAAAAACAAGTTGAATTAAAAAAAAACAGAGAAGCTCAGGTTCCCCCCACATCACAACTTGTGGGATATGCCCCTGCAAAGGGCCCCTTGGTATCTGAGCACCCCATCATGGGTTTCAGGCGGAGGTCTTGCTTAGCCACACCCCTACCAAGGGGGTGCCTCACATCCAGCTCCTAAGGCTTTTGGTATCCATCTCTGATCAGGCCACACCCAGAGTTCAAATCTTTGGTATCTGCCTCCACTTTCCCAGGGGTCTTAAGAGCCAGTTGAACAGAGTTTGTTGTATGCCAAGTTCCCCAAGACAAGCAGCAACATCTCAGACGTGCTGCTCAGGGCCACAATAAAGGGAGCTTGGGAAGCAAAGTCAGCTTGGGCCCTTTGGAAGGAGAGTTGCAGCACGGCCAAGGCCAACAGGCTATTCTGCACCCCGACCTCAATACTGACCGTCCGACGCTGTGGCCCTGGCAGTCCTAAGCACCAGGCCAGCAGGTAGCCCAGCAGCAAGCCGAAGATGGGCACAGTAACGCCAGCCAGGATGATGGGGGGCCGCACGCTGGTTAGGATAAATGCTCCCATATGGTAAGCCATGAAGAGGCCTCCAATGATGAGGGTGAAGCTGAAAGGTTTGATGAGGAGGAGGAGGAGGCGGGAGACACGGGGCAGCTTACACTTGACCAGCATGCCAGTAGAGATGGGCACTGCGATGAAGAGGAGAGTGATGAAGATCTTCAGGAAGGGCACATGCAGAGTCTCATGGGCTCCCAACAGCCATCCGTAGAAGCTGGAGGAGAGGGGCATGAGCCCAGTGGCTGCTATTGTGGATAGAAGAGTCATGGAGATGGCCACAGTGACATCTCCACCCAGTAGAAGGCTGTAGAGATAGCCACCGCCACCACCGGGGGAGGAGCAAGAAATCACTAGCCCCAAAGCCAGTGCCTTAGGCAAAGAGAAGGCCAAGGACATGAGGTAGCCATAAAGGGGCATGACAACAAATTGGCCTAAGATGCCCAGCATGATAGGATGAGGTTGGTGAACCAGGCTTCGGAGAGCATCCACCTCTACCTTGCAGCCAAATGCACATTTATTGAGGAAGATAAGAGGCAGGAGGGCAAAGAGGATCGGGTTCTCTGAGAAGTGACCCAGGCTCATCCTTATACTTGGCTCCAGATCAGAAGTGTCAACCCGAATCCGGAAATCAGCTCGTTCTTCAATGAGGCGATTCTGTTCTAACAATCTCAGTTGCAATGGGGCCAGGCCAGCCAAGCCAGACTGGAATCTGACTGTGAAGCTCCCTCCCCAGGAGGCACTGACATTCTCTATGACTACCACGGTAGGCTCCAGCGAAGATGCACTCAGCCAGGCATCTGATCCCGGATAGTGGCAAGTGACCAACAAAACACCCTGGCTATGCTCAGGGAAATTGAATTCCAAAACTGTTCCGTCCCCAACATTCAGATAAGGGGCACTGACTGTTGCTCCCTGGGTCCAGCCAGTTACAAAAAGTTTGAGGAAGAAGAGGAAGAGAATGCGTGTCCCAGACATGGTGCCGAAGGCTGACGAAGGCATGCTGCGGGCTCATTCCATTAGAGCTCTCCTTGCTCCAACATCATGGTCATTGTGTTCCTTCAGCGGGGATCATGCTCTTAGCCTCAGTTCCATAGGCTCTGCTGATGCCTCTCTATGAAGACCTTCCACCTAATCAGAGAAGGGGGATGAGAAGTGAGGACCACAAGACATACAGTAATTTATGCAATGAAGTCAAGGCAGAGGGTTAGTGATCAAAGAGGTACCGAAGTAAAGGCTAAATCACTTCGCCCAGGCATAACATTTTGGGGCTGCAGTTGGGGCTGACGTAATACAAACTGCATTTCTCACCTCTTAATGTTTTATTAGTTTATCAAAATATAAAATACAGAAGAACACAGAAAAATAAAAGTAAGGGAGGAAAAGGGGAAGAGAAAAAAGCATAGGGGAAAGGGGAAAACAAAAAGAAAAGCATTGACTTCTAACTCCTTATGGTGCAGTAGAATAAAGTAGCTACATAAAACTTCAACTTTTTACTTTTATATGATAATATATACTAGCCATTTCTATAACAAACCTATCTAATCAGCAAAACCCCCAAATCAAAGTTTCACAAATTGCATTTCTGTTAGAAAGTCACTGTCCCAATGCTTACAGTTCCCAACTTTTTCCAAAGTTATGTTTTCTTAAGATACTACAAAAGTATTTCCAACTTTGCAGAGACAAAGTAGTAGAAATATCTCTGAGCTCGGGACAGAAATCCCCAACAGAAGGCCTTGGCATGTCTTAAAGCCCTGAATCCGAAAGAACAAATCCAATAACTAGAATCAGGATATCTGTAATTATAAAGATGAGGAAACTATGCCAACCGATCCAAATCTCTGCCAGCCCCCCCCCCTCTGTCATTCTCATCCTATACAGTTTAAAGCTCCACTAAATGCGTTAGCACAAAATTCTGTTGTGGGGAATATAGCGGGAGTTGAAGCTATTAAATGTTCTACAGTTATACGAGTCTCAATCTGCAAGTAATACGATGACAAAACGTTATTCTGACAAAATGTTATTTTGCCTGAGGCGAGAAAAATCCTTGGCACAACCTCGCCTCTGTGTTCTCCTAAATACCTTGAGCAGATGTCAGGGTAATTTCCAAGCCACCATTGCTTTTCCTGTAATGTGTACATCTTCTCTCCTTAGGATCGTTTCAGGTAAATGAAGTTTGTTGGCAGCCCACTTCTGGGTTTTAAATCTTGTCTTCCTTGAGGAGTTTTCTTTAACCTGACCGCCCTGAATATTAGTAAACATTTCCCTCTTTTTTACAGCTTTGCCCAGGCAAAACAGATTTCCAGACGGAGCCCTCTCTGCCAAAAATTCTTCCTAGCGGGAAGAGGGGAGGGGGAAAAACACCATGCTGGAGCTATTATCCCCGAGCAAGTCTTGACAGCTCCAAAGCTGGAGTCCCTCCCGCGGCAGCAGAAGGGGTGAGAGAAATCGGAGACCCGTGAATCGGCGGGTTCAGGGCAGGTAAGTCCCACTCCCCTTATTTCCACCCCCGATCCTCAATTCAGCTGAGTCACTTCTGTCTTAAAGGTACAAACACCTGTTGGGAAAGAAGCTGATGCCCCCCCAAAACTTCTCCCCCTGATTTATTAGTAAGGTAAGAGGAACATCAGACATTCCTCTTTCTTCTTACACCCTTTTCCCGCATCAGTCTCCTTTCAATGCAAAGACTGCGCACCTCCTTTCACTGGGGGAGAAGGGAGATATTTCGGCTCTCAATCTCGCCCCCCCCCAAAAAAACAACACACACACACACACACACACACACACCACCTACGCAATTCTCACTAAGAAAGCAGCCTCCGCAAAGCGGATCCGTTATAGCCCAGCTTTATTGTTTAGAGACCCCCCATCTCTGCCCCAAGTATGTTGGGGAGACCCCACGATTAACAGCCCCGGAGAGCAGAATCGCTCCGCGATTTACCTTCGCGGGGCTTCGTTCCCAGCGTTCGTTCACCGGCACCGACCTCAACTCAACCGCTCGATTTGTTTGCTTTCGTCCGCTCCTTCCTTCCATGCCCGGCCCCGCCCACCGGGTGGTGCGCCACAGTCATAACCACGCCCACACAAGAATGCGAATTCATGGTAGGGGCCACCCTCCTCCCCATGACTTTAGGGCATCCTGGGAATTGTAGTTTTTTTTTAAAAAATTAAAAAATCAAAAAAATCAAAAAATACATCTGCTTCGGTTTTAGTGGGAAGAATGCTAGTCGCTCGCCTTGTAACGGATGGGGTTAGAAAAAAACGCATTTCATATCTCTGAGCAGGCAGTATTATTGTCCGAGTGTGAAAAACCATGAGGGAATAATAGCGATCTGATTGGAGAGAGCAGATAGCCACTTCTTCCCGAAATAGAAATTAATGGTACATTTTGCTCCAGGAAGCATTAAATAAAGTTGTTAGTTGATTGGCTAGATCATAATTGTATTGTCACCCGATTGGAAGAAACAGGAACACTCTTTTATATCCCAAAAGGATTAGGCGATGATGGAAGGAAAAAAAAAATACAGCGATCATCCTGCAATTTTATTGGCGCATTGAGGGTCTTTTATCCTCAGATTGACTGACCTGGGTATTACTGTATTTTGCTGTGCTAGGATTATGAATTCATTCATACCCATTAAATAAATTGATTTAGGATTTTTTTTTTTGAACTGGGATTAGAACTCAGGAAAGAACAGTCAGGGAATACAACATTTTCCAGTTCCGCAATTTAGGGGCAACAGCTATATATGGCAATGGAGACAAGAGTATATGGGGGAGTGGCAAAAAACAGAAAATTGGGGGAATGAGAGGAAGATTTCAAATGGCTGGACAATGGTCCAATGCCCCTTAGAATTTAAGGATTAACAAACCAAGTAAAGGAACCAAAACATGAAAGATAAAAATCTCAGAAAGATAGTTAAAAGAGTTTCAGGGAATTGTTAGAAGCAATAAATCAGGAAGGGGGGAGGGATGACACCAATGAACATATACTGATTCAAAGATCAAAGTAAATAGTGTACAGCAGAGATCTAGAGATGCCAAAAACCTCAAGTACTAAAATTTGAAGCTATATCAGCATTCCAGTCCTTATCAAGTTATACGAAACCCATCCTTTCCACCAAAGAGACAACCCCATTGGTTGAAGCATGCTCTTCAGATGGCAGCATGGTTCCCTGCAGTGCCTTGACCTAGCCAGCTTTCTCGTGCCCTGAATAATTTATTTTACACGAGGAAAGGATAGCAGATGATGATGGAATGGATTATTTTGACAAGCATTAAAATAAGATTGGCCCTGGTTCAAAGATGGAGAACTTTCTGGGAGGAGGGTAGCATTTAATCTTTGGATGGCATGTCAAGGGCAATGCTCTGAAAAAGAAGATAGGGCCAATGTTTTTTACAAAAAAAACCCAGCCATGAAAAAAACCATTGTGAATTATATTGAAAACAAGCAATTCCAAAAGTTTAAGCAATGTAACATATTTTGGTATTAAATTTCAAGAGCAATCATGGAAAGAGCAGTTTCTACGAAAGAGACTAGGCACACTTTACCCACACCTGTGTGAAGTAACAAAAATATAAGAAATAAATTTTCTGGCAATTCAAGAAATCTTTTAATGTACTTATCTTTTTCAAAGCCCAGCTCCATCACCACCATGGTCACCAAAAACCTTACAATTAACTGCATATATTTGGTGGAAAAGTAGAACAGTGAAAGACAGGCAGGAAGGCAATTTAAATTACTTGGTTCTCTTTCCTACTTAATTTAGACTGGCACTTTCTCCCTTTCTTCCACCCTTTCTTTAATAAGCAATTTGATTTTATCGCCAGAAAGCTACTGATAAAGCATATTAACAAGTTGCAAGCTCCACAATTTGTCTTATTCTATATGCTGCTATGCTGTGCTATACATGCCAACAGTACATAATTCATGTTTTTGATAGCATGCTTAGATTGGGTACATATTTTGAAGGGGGGTGGGTGGGGAAGCAATATGAAATCAGTATCTAAGGCCCAGACAAATTTCCTGCCTGAAATCATCTTTCATTACCTTTTAATTTGTCCTGGAAGATACCAACTGCCAGTGACAATATTTTTGGAAGATGCTACAAAGCAGCAGCTGGTAGATATATCTGGATTTCAAATCCTCTTCTTAGCTATGCTCATTGAGATTTCCAGAAACTGCAATACATCTGGATGGCACTGGGTCAAGAAAGGCTGGATTACTTTTGCATTTGTCTATGATTGTGTGTGTGTGTGTGTGTGTGTGTGTGTGTAGTGATCCTTGCTATTAGCTCCTTGCCACTGAGAAGCCACTCACTATTAGCCCTGGGGTTCTTTCTGCATTCCGCATTCCTTACTGCAAGGAGGGTGAATCTGTTTGATCAGCCTAGCCCAGGTTGATGGACCCTGTTGGGTTTGGGGCTCTTCCTGATGCATGGTTTGATTTAGGCCCTGGTGACCAAGTGGAATGAAGGTCATGGCCTTGGATTAAATCACACCTGTATAAGCGCTTGCTCTCCATCGATTCCAGACAGTTTTTTGTTTTTTCTGGGGAACTTCAAGAGGTGAAGCAGCAGGAAAGAACCCTACTCCATTGCTGGAAGAATGAATATGATTGAGCATGAGTAAGAAGAGCCTTTCTTCAGGATTACCTTAGGGCAATAAGAGCGGCAAAACATGATCATTTTTCTGCCAGCTACATTTGTTTAAAGTAATCCAGTTTCTTCCAGGGAAGGAGGCTGGAGAAAAAGCTGCAGGAGTACTGTGAAGAATAAGCATGACAGATAAAATTGCTTTGATTCACAGTTAGATGCTGTTTATGCAGAAATTGACTAGGTACAGTCTAGTGCGTTTCCTTCTGGAAAGAACTGGGAAAATAGACAAAACTTTCAATTCTGTGAGCACAACTCTGTATTAGATCCTTGTCACTCTTTGTTGATTAAGGCTTTCATAGGAGAAAAACAGCTGGATCCAGCTGGTAAATGCGTGCTTGATGGAGAGCATGGTTCCTCTGGTTCTGAAAGATGAAGTGGTCTCTCTCTTCTTCAAGAAGCATCCCTAGATCCAATGGTACTCAGCAATTTTTGCTTGTTCTCCAAAATTTCCTTTTAAGAAAAAACTATTGAGAAGATATTTGATATACAGAGGACCTTGGAGAAATCAGATTATGTGGATCTCTTTCAGTGTGGTTTCAGATTGGGACCTGGTGCTGAAATAGCGCTGATCACACTTGTCGATTATCTTTAACAGGATTTGGGTGGGCTACTGCATCCATTTTAACCCTACCTGATTTCCCAGCAATTTTTAATACCATTAATCAATCCTTCTCTATTGACTTTGAAGTAGGAGTGAGATGGATGGTGTTTTGATGGTTCTCTTCCTTCTTCCAGAATCAGTTTGAGTCAGTGTTGATGGAGGGGAATAGATCTAATTTGAGATCTCTGCTTTTACTTTATATGATCCTATTTAATATCTACAGTACATGAAGCTGCTAGATGAGGCCATCCATCAATAGGTCAGCTATCAATATCCTGATGATACCTAGTTATAAAATCTATACCTTAGAGCCAAACCAGATGCTGCTGTCAAATTATCTGGAGGCTGTCAGAAAAACAGACTTCAGCTTAACAAAAGCAAGAATGAAGGGGAGGCGGCAGTGCCTTCAAGATAGTCTTGATTTTTGGCAACTGTCCAGACTAGTACCTCCAATTTTCTAGGCAATTTTTCAGAAGTGGTTTGTTGTTGCCTTATTCCTAGGGTTGAGAGAAACTTGGCTCAAAACCACCCAGCTGGTTTCATGACTAATTGCAGGACTAGAATTCAGTCTGAGTTTGTTGTATGTTGCCTTAACTACCGGACCAAATTGGCTCAGCTGTGGGTTTGGGGGATTCCCCAATACTGGAGGCTCTCTACTATTGGTTCTGGATGGGAGTGGATGGGATTCCCAGACAACACTGGTGCACAATTTGAAGATCCTGTTGGATTCTCAACACTTACTGCAAGAGCAGGTGGTAGGCAAGAGTAGTTGTGGGTGTGCCCAGATAGCACTACTACCATGCAAGCTGTACTGATTCCCTATAGGCTTTTGAGAGTAATTCAAGATGCCAGTTGTACAATACTTTAATTATACTTTCCTTCTTAGCATAGGGCTTGGTTATTTGTGGCACTGCTTATCTTTAATTAGCTTTGCTCATTCCATGACATCCAGCAGAGTAGCATGCTTCTCTTTTTTTTTTTTACCTGGGACGTGGACCTTGTGGGATCTAGAAGACAGGTGTGCCTTCTCCCTTGCAGTGACTGCCTTATGGTACAAGATTCCCTCTGAAGGTCTGATGGCCCAAACTTACTGGCTTTCGGTAAGATGATGAAAGCCAGACTTCTCCCTTCTGCATTGAGCCACAGTATTGGATGATCCCATCCAGAATTGAAAGGACTTGACTATAAGACCCTATTGTTGGTTCATTTACTCTGTTTTCAATGTTGTGTTGCTCTATTCTGGTTTTTTAGTCTTTTTCCCCTCTTATCCCCTAACCATTTGTAAGCCACCTAAAGTCACTTCTGTAGATGTCTGGCCATGTAATTCAAATCAAACAGACACATGGGGTGGGAGAAGGGATCAGTGAAGAGTGATGATCGTAGAAAGTAAAATAAAAGGCAGCTGCTTTTGTAATTTAGTAACTGTCTTCTCTCCTGCCTTCCAAGTATTGTAATCTGGCTGCCTCAGTGCTCATATGATTTTTCCCCCCATTGTAAGGAAAGGAGGTAAAAGAGAGGCAGAAGTGAAACATATAAAAATGGAGCATCGAAGCTCACATGCAAGATATATCCTAGAGGAGAAAACTCTACCAGTGCATGAATTGGTGCATAGATAGGTCAACTGGCAATGGACAAAAGTCTACCAGCCAAAATGTTGGCGGTAGTAGTAAATAAAGCTGCAATCGAAAATTCAACAAGTGCATAATCACATTATCTTCAATTATAGATCCCATGGGATGAACCAGGTGTTTTTTTGGGGGGGGGGGGGGGGGGGGGGCAGGCAGCAACCATTTCAAACAACAAGCCTCAGTTGTTTTACACAGTATTTATTGAAGAAGTTGTTCAGCAACAAGGATTGGGCAAATGGAAACTTTCAACTTGGATTCCCTCAACTACACTCTATAAAAAAAAAGTGAACATGGGCAAAAGGATGAATGAAAGACTCAGTCCTCACCCAATCCCCTCCCAAACTGAAGCACCAACATTACACTACAGGAAGCAGTAACTGGGCATTTCTCAAGTTTAGCAAACTAAGGGGAACAGCAGTGGTGTTAAAATAGAGATAAACACCTTTGGAACAGCAGTGGTGTTAAAATAGATAAACTCTGATTCAGAGTGGTTCCTTTGGCAGAACCTCATGAATACGGGACTCTTCCTTTGACCTCCATGCTTTTCAGGTGAGCACTGCAGGGATTCTACACATGCAAAGAATGCATGTTTGATTGAGATGTGCATGGATCAAAGAAAGGTGCAAACATGTAAAGAAGGCATGATAGAAGCATGTTGTGGAGATAAAGAAATGGGGGGACCTTCCCACTTTTCATGGTATCTCCCACTTACTCCCCCTGCCCAAGAGTTCTTCCTCCTGCTTTAAATTATCACAAATAAAATCCCCAGATCGGTTCTCAGTAGAGGAAATCAATTGTCTCTGCAAATTTATAGCAGGGAAGAGGGCAAGGAGGATTAGCCCCTTCACCTGGGAAAAATGTAAGGCACTAGAGAAGGGACGTGAGAACTAACCCGACAATAAGGAGTTGTTTACACGTTCTTTCTTCCCAAAGTCCAGGGCAAGAAAACTTTTCTGAAAAGGGCAACTGGTTGGCCTTATTAAGGCACTGCCAAACAGGCCACTGTGGAGAAGGGAAAAAAGGCAGCTGCCACAATAAGGGTAGACAACAATAAGTGGAAGACTGGAGACTTTTTCTCCCATCCCCATGAAAAAATTCACTTGAAGTTTTGAAGAAACGGACCCTCACAGGACCTCGGTGGTTCGCTGCGGAATGCAGCCCTCCATCTCAAGGGCTTCGGGCCAGCCCTCATACTTGTTGGAGCTTCTGCTGTTTTTCATATGCTGCAAAAAGAGCAAAGGTAAGTCTGGATGGAGACTGACCTCTTTTTCAGAGATTATTTCAATTGATTCTTGGGACCTTCCAAAGTCCTGAACCAAATACCTGTTCAAAGGGACTCTTGTCTTGCACTCCTTTGGCTCCAACAAAGACCCAGCTGTCTCGAAAGGCCAGTTCCCGAGCAAACTTGCTGCCCAATTCTGTGAAGATTTTACGGGCCTCTTCATTCATTCTACAGTGAAGCAGAGAAGATGATTGAGAAAAAACATCTCTATGGTTTATTTTTATTTTTTTACTCCATCTGATTTCCTCTTCCTCCTTGTATTTTTAGGTGGATTAAAGCAACTTCCTTTTTACCTTCTACTACATATTCACTCCCACTAACCTTATTTAAATCAAAGGCAAGGGCTTAAAAAAAAGATTTGGAATATGGAGATTCTCAGTCATCTAAGTCATGGTTGTCTCAAAGGTGCTTTTTCACAAGGCAAATGGACTTTCTGATTTTTCTTCTGAAGAGCTGAAGAAGCTTCTTGGATGAGCAGCAAAACGTCTTCAAAGAAAAACCAGAAAGTCCAGTTGTCTTTTGAAAAAACACCTTTGGGACAAGATTTGGAATAGTTTCCCCAGCATATATATCTATAATAACTGGAAATATTCTCAGTGTTCCAATTTGGGTGGTTGACAGGAGTACATGTTTTTCTTTCAAGGAGCAATAGATTTCCTCCAAATTGTTCCAAGTGACATATTTATATGCTTTGTGAGGATCTGCTGATGCAATCTCAAACCTGAAGAGATTTATTTCTAAGGAAACAGGTCTGCTTAGGAAATCTATTGAAACCATGCAAATCTGTAGTTGAAGACCACCAGTTCAGCACTTCATGGTCTAACATTTGAAATGATCTGTGTATCTACATATATACTAAACCGAGTTCTTCCAAGGAGGGAGAACTCCATCCAGAAATGCTAATGAGAAATAGCCCTTCTAGACTGTCGATTTCACAAAAGGTAGTAGCACAACTTTTGGAAGATGGAAAAACAGCTGCCTCTCCTCTTCTAGAGAAAGATCCATGTGATGCCAAAAGGCTGCCAAGGTGAGGAATTACAATCAGAATTCCTTTTCCACCTATGTGCTACATCAATGGGAGAAGCTGCTCCAGTTTCGTCTTCTGGGCAATTCTTAAAAACACAAAACTGTTCTTGGTCAGATCTGGCAACCTGACTTTTGCTCTTAAATTGGGGTATTAGACATCAGACCTTTGGGCTGCATCAGCACCCCTTTCATGGCCCGGGGGAGCCTGGGGGGAAATTTTAAGGGGCAAAATGGATGTCCTAAACTGCTATGCCAATTTCCTTAAAACACCCCCTCCGATTTCAGGCCCACTTTGACTTCTAGCTTTGCCCAGTTTTGGACAGCACCCAAAACTTTATCAAGCACCTTCTGCAGCCCTGAAATGACAAAAGCTTCCCCCTTTAGGCAAATGATAGTAAAGCCCAACATTTCTGAGCCTTGTATCTTCCTTCCTGAATTTATTCAAACATATCTGCCCACCATCTGATAACAGCATTTTCATCAAACATCAATCTGTGTACATAAAGCAACCATTCCCAATCAATGGGACTTTTGTCTCATGATTTTACTATTTATTTATCTTAACCGCCCATTTCCTTCACAGGCTCTGGGTGGTGTATGCATATGTTATGTAACATATTTTTTTAAAATGCCTGTGGACTTTTATACTAAGGGTTGACCTATAAACTTGTAAAAGTTAATTTCACATGACTTCTGACTGCTTGTCTAGAAGACCAAAAGGTTCATTTATGTAAACAGGCAAAAGGAAATCCTTATTGCGTTGTTAAAACTATTCAAATTGCTTGTAAAGGATGTGGCTAAAGCCAACTTAGAAAGCTTTAATGGATGCTTAGGCTCTCAATAGCTATTAGCCACACTGGATACATGTTACTTTCACATTACATAACGTCTGAGTATTGTTGCTCAGAATCCTGAGTGGGAGGATGCTATAATGTACATAAGAATGTTTCTTAATGTTCTATGTCAATATAAATTTCATCACATGAATTAGTGTATTTTTGAGCTGAACATCATTCAACACTCACTTTGTGGCAGGATCATCATAAGAGGCAACAAATACCAATGTCCCTTCGTGCAATGACCGGATGAATTTTAGCAGCTCATTCACATCTGGAGATGAGAAGAGTTAGAATGAAGAAGGTAAGAAGGTTTAGCTCAGCCTTCCTTACATACTGTATCTATAGCATCCTTTCATTTTTTTTCGGAAAACTGCCTCAGCTTCTCTCCAGACCAGTGACCCCCAATCTTTTGGGCACCAGGGACAGGTTCCGTGGAGAGAAATTTTTCCGTGGACCGGAGGGTTTTGTATGCTGCCTGCATCCTACGAATGGGGCTTCGCTTCTTTGCGTGGCCCAGTTTCTGGCATGCTATGGCCCGGTGCTGGTCCATGGACCGGGGGTTGGGGACCGCTGGTCCAGATCACTCTATATTCTATCTATTAATATCAAATCCTTTCCATTACCACACTCACCTCCTGCCCACATGTCAAAAGACTTAGCATCAATCAAGTCTCCATTCACACCTGAAAGCAAAGCAGAGCAGGGTTAGTGGCCACATTTACATTACTCTCCAGCCTGTTGAGTGGGCAATTGGCACATCATCCCTGTCATCCTTTTATCATATGGTTGACATCTAGTGTATTTCATTTCCATCATGAGATATTTTTAAGTGTGCTATTTTGTTTGTTCTGCTTTTTAGAATTTAAGTTTTGTGTATCTCCCCTTCCTCATTATTCCAACATCCTACCCTCTATGACATTGTGCACCCGAATGACAGCCTTACCCAAACAAATCAATTGTTAGGAACCAAATCACGGTGCCTAATATTATGGATTATGAATCCAACACTAGATATATTGGAGAATAGAGGTGAGCATCTTTTGAAGCAGTGGCTTCAAAGCCTCCATGACTCGAACCCCTTCAGTGGCTGTCTGGCACTATAAAATCATACAACTTTAGCATATGTATTCCCTTAAGTCTATCTTACCATTCACCAGGGCAACATTCAGACCTCTGCCTACATTATCCTTCATGCTGCTCATTAGCCTGAAACAAATAAAAGGCCAGATCAGATCCTTCAAAAGGAGACTCTCCAGGGGTCTAGTACAGTCAGTCCCATGGACTTGCACAAATGTATCCAACCGTCAAGACTTTGCCTGGCTCACATTTTATCTTCAAGGCAGATTTTGGGCCCAATAACATTGGCTGCACCGCTTGTCATCCGGAAGGCAAACGAATGCTCTGGGCAGGGCTGAGGGAGGCCACACTTGTATTTCTTTGGCCTTGGTTCTGAAAAGATAGCAAAGGTGAGATCTTGAAGTCCCTGGTCAGAAGTATACTGAAGTGGAGAACTATCTTGCATATACTTCCAGATTAGTATGGACTAATGATTTTTCTTATTACCCTTACTCCAAGAATCATAACAATGTTTCCCCTTCTAACTGTGGTGACTTAGCACAAGCGCCAGGGTACTACACTCAACCTTCAGTGTCCCAAGGACTTGAAAGACAGTTTTCAAACCAGCTTAAGAAGAGCTGGTGCCAGGCCAGTTAGAGAATTTTGAGGACCTACTCAGGAGAGGGAAATCCATTCCACCACCCAGCCAAAATCATCTTACAAATCAGGGAAAACACGCACAAAGCCTCCTATATTCAAGAATTAAAAGAAACAGGAAAGACATCTTTCCTACTTGAGCAAGGGACCTTCTGGGAAATAAGGGGATAAGGGAAGGTAGGGAAGAAAGAACATTTTAAAACTACTACACGGAAGTCCATTTATGCTATCCTGTATCCCCAATTCCTTTTCAACTCCTCTGAACTCACTGCGATGACTATTGCGGCTGCCTGCAAAATTCTTTGCCGAGACCACTCTGATCTTGTCCAAATCTGACAATGATGGATAAAGAGTCAGGATTCCAGGGATAGCAAGAGAGACACAAAGCCAGGACAGACAAGACAGACAAGTGGCATGGGATCTTGGCTTCTGACCGGTCCTTGCAATGTCTTACACCAGTCTTCCTCTACCTGCCTTCCCTCTCACAATTCTTTAGCTATTTTTTTTTTTTGTCATGTTAACTGAGAATTCTGGGAACCGGACCATCACATCTATGAGTAGCAAATAGAAACATGCTTTATATGTAATATCTTTATCTTGCACTCTAGCTATAGAAAATTCACTTCTCACTGAGTTAAGGGGAAATGTATCATTTTCCCCTATCCTATATCTGGTACCTGTAATCAGATTACAGATTCTGCAGTTATACTGCAGCAAAGAAATTGAAATTTATTACCAGATAGCTAAGGATTAATGCGAGTCTGCTTTCCCCAAGAAAGCACATACAGTTACCAATGCAAGCTTCCCTTTTGTTCAGCCCTGCACTATATAATTTCTGTCTGCATTTTTACTAATTTATTCTTCCTTGTATGGGCCAAATCATATACCCCTCAGCTAGTGAGGGTGTCTGGGCAAAAGAACTTGTTGACTTCCAGAACTCTTTAATTTTCTGTTAACTGTGAACAATTGTTAATCATTTTTGTTATTTCTCTTAGCCATGGCAAGCAGCATAGCGAAAACACTTCTGATAATCCTTGATTTATAACTGGTTGTTTAACGACTGTTGACAGTTATGATGAATTTTTTAAAAAGCTACTTATGACTCGTTCTTGAAGTTACAACCGCCACTTCATCACCCCCTACAGTCATGATTGCATTTTGGGTATTTGGAAACCTATTGACTGGTTGCCAAGCATCCAAAATCACATGATTCCCATTTGCAATCTTCTCTGCCAGCTTTTCCAAAAAGTCGATGGAGAAGCAAGCAAAGAATATTGCAATTGCTGCCACCTTCATGTGCTGGGGGAGGGGAAGTTCCTGTGGCAGACTGGAGGGTTTTTTTTTCTTTTTTCCCCAACCAAGCCACTGGATTTCTCTTTTGCGTAGAGAGGGGAGCTCTTTTGCTCTGTCCACTTAATGACCCATCTGGTCACTTAATAGGAGAGTGAGGATTGTGTTCATTGAACAAAGTGATCACATGGGCATCTCACGTAACATCCACAATTCCAGGATCTATTTGGTCATAAGTCAAAGATACTTGTAATGGACTGCATTTATTTCAGCTGTGCTAAAAGGTACTTTTTTGTTTAGTCAGTTGCAATTCAAGATCTGTTTGAAAGCTGTAATGATTTAATTGTCCAGGAATCTTAGCAAGGCCAGGTTCAGCCATGGGTTTGCAAATATAAGGATTCCTCGTACCCTAATCTTGTCTCCTTATATACAGTATATGTTATATGTATGAAGACTCCCACTACCAGCAATAAGATAGCTAGGGATGATGGAAGTCAATAGCCAACATATCAGAAGGGCTACCTGGTTAGAGAAGTCTGTTCTACGCATGTATTGCTTGCAAACTGCTACTCCAACTAACTAGGAACAAAGGGAGAGGGCACCAGGTTGGGGGAGGCTGGTAGGAATGGTGCAGAAATGTAGCCAATCATCTTACCTGTAGCGGGAGTGTTCTCTGGACCTGCAAGGAAGCAAAGAAACATTAGCATCAGCAAGATATTCAATGTAGAGTTATCACTCTATGCTAAAAGGTTTAGTCTGGTTTAGACAGATGCAAGTTATGATCTGTTTGAAAACTGTAATTAATGTCCTGCCTCGTCTGTTCAGAGATATACAGGCAGGAGCCAGTATCAAAGAATCCTTCATTCTTCAATACTTCAGCACAGAATGAGCCAAAGGGTTACTTTTAAAAGATTTGTTTCTGATTAAGCTTGAAAAGAATATTCAAAGCAGCAAGCTAAGGAAGACTTGCCTCTTTGGACTGACCTGACTGATGGCTTAAAGCATCAGGTGTCATTAGGTTTGTTAAACCACTCCAAGGTTCCACACTCTGAATCATTAATCAGTCTCACTCAATTACTTTACACTGTCTTTTTTTTTTCCTATTGAGTCTGGTTTATGAAATTGTTGCAAGAATAAATGCAATAAGCCTTTGAGCAAAATAAATTCATGCATCACTATACCAAGTGAAGTGGGAGTAATTAAAATGCATTGGAATAAAAAGTGGAAGTGGGTATTCAGAAGTAATTTTGGGGGTTAAATCACCAAGGAAAATTAAAAGTTTAGGATAATTTAAGTCTGACCACATAATAAATTGTGCTCAGTAAATTATGAAAGATCTCTGCTGGGGTCTCTGAATTCTCTCTGCTATAATCCAAATTTTTGTTCTAATTTCAGGTAAAACTGGCACATAAGATTATAGCTGCACCTTAACACAGCTTTAGTTTCACTTACTTGCAGGTACAAGGCTGGTCCAGGACACTGTATAATATAAAAAGAGGCCCAAACTGCCAATGAATTTTGTCTAAAATTCATCATACAATCCTCATGACAGTGTATGGATTTCTTCATGGATTTCTTCAGTGACTTGACAATCCAATGAAGGTGACCGGCCTTCTTTGCTATCTGTCCCTAGTACTTGGAGTTATACTTTCATATACGAAGATTTCATTTAGCTTTCATATCTAATGGCCATGCAGAGATATTTCCCAAATTAAGCAACTTCTATTATATGTGGATGTCAATTCTCAAAATTTTTCAGCAGTGATCATGCTGGCTGGGAAATTCTGGAAGCTGAAGTCCAGACAGCTGGAGGGCACTTAGATTAGAAAAGGTATATCTAGAAGTTCTTTTATCCTTCTAAGTATTTTGATGCCCTATTGAACATTCTGCTGAATGTAATGGAGGTCAAGAGTAAGGAAATGCAGCACTTCAGATCCAAAGAAGGAAAAAAGGAAGTATGAAGAACATGCCTGCCTCTACTGCAAGGCATCTTACTTCATCCTGTCAACAACGCCTTACCTAAAATGTGCATTTTCCTGAGACTGTATCACTACAATCTGTGAATGACACACCCATCCACCTCAGGAGAAGAAGAAACTTTTTGAAGTTTTCCAACTGCTGAAATATGCAAGCTCACCTTTTCTGCTTTGGATTTGAAGCACTGCATATCCCTAGCTAACAGCAAACCACAGTGAGCATGCACAGGAAAGATGGTCGTTGCTGCCAGGGAACATTTGTTCTATGTCCTAGCACCCCTCCATCCTTCCCCTCTCTTAGTGTCCTTGTTCTTACTGTTGAGGAGGAACTGCTGCAGGCGAGAAAAACTGCTTTGGGTCCCCAACAAGATGCTGACAAGGATCCAGGTCAGCCCTGCTGTCAAGACAATCACAACAACACGAAGAGGACCTAAAACAATTAAGAAAAATGAAGTCAAGTCAAAGCAAAGCCAAAAAAGAAACCCTGGAGGAAGACTGAATCCAACTGCTACACTACAGTCATCCAGTAGTGGCTACAATTTTCCCCAACATATCCCAGAAGCTTAAGTGCTCTAAAGGGCTACTGGATGTCAGTGGCTAAAAACTATTAATTTTCCTGTCTGAAGGGCTGCCTTTTGCTGTCACCATCCAGAGCTCACCTGCTAGTCTCATGGCCCCTTGAGAGTGTCCAGAACCAGTGGAAATCCAATGCTATTAGGCTCCTGAGGTAGCAGAATGGGTGAGGGAGTCTGAGGTGGGTTAGTCACATGTACCCTTCAAACTACAGAGATCAGAAATGGCAGTCAGAATCAACCCAAGGAAGATAAAACTCCTGCATCACCCCCAATACTCAGGACAAGTGTCCACGAGTTCTACACTAATAAGCACACATATAAAAATATAACCTTCATAACATACAGACAACAGAAATCACAAACCGCCTTGTACGATTTTCATGGTTAGGCTGCCGGCCACTTCATGTAACACCAAACCATTAAAAATTGAACTACAACCAAATTCATCTTGAATACATTTCTTAAAAAGTGTTTCATCAAGCCTGCAAGTTAAATTGCTTTGCCATCTTATGGACAATTGAGGCAGCTCCCTCCAGGCAATATAGCAGAGGGCCTTTGAATTTTCTTACCCCAGGACATCTGTAGCTATACTTTTCGTTAAACATAGTGTACACTGTAACCGCTGGATACTTTTCAGAGGTTTATGCAAAACTGTAGTCTATTCTAGTGAAATGAAACTTAATAGCTAACTGTGGAAGAGAACTCTATGTAAAAAAAAAAAAAAAAATTCCTAAGCAGGGCAAGGCAGAATTTCCTCTTTTTCTTTCTTTTCTTGCCTGTCTGCAGGCAAAAGGCATTTTTTTAATTGCCTAAAGTAAGGGTTAATTTCCAGGGGGTTGCTAAAATCTACACAGAACTGCAAAGCTCAATTTTAACCAAGACCTCCAAAAAATGGTGTCAGTTTAGCTTGCAGGGGAGGGATACTACTAAACTTTACGCTCTGTATCAAGTTTGACTTGAACCATACTGAACTCTGCAGCACTCCTTGTTTCACCCTTTGGACTTTCCAGGACCAAAGCAAGAAAATTCTTTTCCACCTCCTTCCTTAACTGTATTCACTCTCCAGACAGAACTTTTGAGCAACTTTGAGCTACTTATTTAACCCACTTCCAAAACTGGGTGGATTCCCTTGGGAGATAAAAGTCTCATTTATGTGACCTCCCCTTCATAGGTATAAATATGGACTTTTATGACAAAGAGCACCCCTCTTCTACTTCTGGTTCTTTTTCTTCTTCCACTTTCTCTTAAGCGCTGCAAACAGGAAGGCAACTTAAGTTCTCACATCACCTACGGAGGTTGAACCTTGCCTCTTTCTGTCTCCTTAACATCCGGCCATGTCCAGAAGGGAACAATCCCGTAATTAAGTTCTGCTCAACTACTACCCGAAGCAAATTGGCCTCATGCTTCTTGATCACCCTCATCCCCCCCAAACCACATAAATACACCAACAACCTAAGCACGATCGTCCCGGTGGTTTCTACTCGGGTAGTAAAGCACCGAGAAAACAACCAGAGACGACCACTGGACTGGAACAGGTCGGACAAACATCGCGGGAAACCGAATGGCAAACCCCACTTCCATATTGTTGCCAAGCGAACCGCACGAACACGTCGTCATAGTTGAGCATCCGGGAGAGAGAGAGAGAGAGGCTTCTGGCCCTTCTCTCAGCCGGTGGCAGAGAAGCCCCAAGACCCTGCAACCGGTCCACGGATCCCGCCTGCAGCCCGGTGCCGAACCCTTCGGGCCCTCGCGCAGGGCCTCCCTTCTTCTTACTCCGCACCCTCCCTCCCTCCCACTCCTCCCCGGTTGCTGCCTGAACCCTCCCGGCTGCCCACGTACTCATCTCCCAAACACCCCAGTCGCCTCATGATTCCCTCCAGCTTCCTCCAGCGTCCGGTTGCCAATGCAATCCGCGCGGATCTTCGGTCGCTTCCCAGGAAAGAACAAGATTTTCCGGCTTGCCAAGTAATAGCAGCAGCAGAAGCAACAGCAGCAGCAGCAGCAGCACCAAGCAGCTCCTCCTCCTCTTCTGTCGGCGGCTCCGCCCAGCCTCCTGGGTAGAACAGTTTAGCGGAGACCTCGGTGGCTCCCCTCCGCTCTGATCGAGTTCCTCTTTGGGCGTCCCGGCCCTTCGCCCCCTCCAGGCTGGGTACGGAGCCCTTCCACCCGCTCCGCCACCGGCCATCCCCGCTGTCCCACCCGCTCAGGCTTATTCCGATCGGACGCCGCTCGGGAACCGGAACTTTCCCACGGTCTACTGGCCTCGTTCTCTTATTGCGCCTGCACCCGCTACTCCCGAGGAAGGCCCACTCTCTTCATGGGTTAACTGGCGCGAAGAGCAGGGCTAGGGTTTCATTTAAAAAACAAACAAACCCCAAAACCAGCGTTTCGGAGAAATCCTAGAAAAGCCGCGACCTTCTTGAAAGAATTGCGGTTAGAGGTTAGGTTGGCATCCGGGCACTCCCGCGCATCCTTTGGAATCTCCTGGAAACCAAATTACGTCCTGGAAAGGGGAGGGGAAAGATGACCAAATAAAGCTACACTGAGAGAGAGCAGTGCTCCTTCAGGGTGGCTTTATGTGTTTTTAAATTGTTAAGATTTATACAGCCTGCTTTTCCTCCAGGAGCATCCTTTTTTCCATTTTTCCACAGTAAATTTCGAGATACCAGAAAGTGGCTGGCCACAATTCACCCAGTCGTCTTTCATTGTGAGGCAGGGCTTCAACCTAGTCTAAGTGTCTGTGGAGATTCTCAGTTATTTACCACAGGTCGTGGTTGACAACCTGGTCTAGACAACCTAGCTGACAACCTAGTCTGGACAACCTAGTCTAGTCCTGTTGCAATATTTTCAGGATCAGACTCAATAAAGATAATATAAGTTAAAGCTTTAAATATATTTCTTTTTAATTATGATAGGCATTCTATATTCACTGAATATTCAAGGTAGAAGCTACGAGAATGGTGAGGGTGGCTCCTTATATATACAAGGGGTGGAGCTAGGAATGGGAGTGGTAAGTTATGAATACATTAAAGTCCAAAGAATAAGTTAACCTCTGATGTTCCATATATACATTATTTACACATTGGAGAATAAGGCATTTACATCTGACAAATCCCCCTCTAAATGCCGGTTCGTTACACAACACCAATTACATTCTGATTCAGGACAATATAATACATATAATTTAGAAGTTAAATATTTGTGTTGTTTAGAAGGTAAGGGTTTTGTTAATATGTCAGCTAATTGTTCAGAAGTATCGCAATGTATTGCTTTAATGAATCCGTCTTGAGACAGTTGTCTCACATGCTTAAACTTTATATCAATATGCCTGGACCTTTGTCCAATTGCATCGGATCTGGATATTTCAATGGCCGCTTTATTGTCTTCATGCATAATAAATGGTAAGGTGGGTTTCTTCCAAACATCAGTGATCAGATCATTGAACCATACAAGGTTATTTGCAGCTTTGGACAAACAAACATATTCCGCTTCTGTAGTAGAAGTGGCTACTAGTTCTTGTTTACCAGTATACCAGTAAACTGGACAATCATTCAATAGAAAAACATAACCAGAAGTACTCTTTCTGCATGATGTATCACCAGCCCAATCTGCATCAGCATAACAAGTAATTTTTGGTTCTCTGTCATTATTGGGTTCCAACATTAAACAAAAATCTAATGTACCCTTCAGATATCTTAGAATTCTTTTGACAGCTTCCCAATGATACAAGGTTGGTTTACTAACATATCTTGACAATAGATTGAGAGGTAATGCAATATCTGGCCTAGTCCAATTAGATATATAAAGGAGTGAACCTATAACTGATCTGTAAAATGTGTTGTCTTTAAACTCAGGGGAAGATTCATCAGTGTTTCTAAGAAAATCAGTTTGCATAGGGGTGTCACAGGTTTTAGCATTATTTAAGTTACATTTGTTTAGGAGTTCGATGATTTTATCTTTCTGTGTAAGTTTGAATCCCCTTTTAGTTTTGTTAATTTGCACACCAAGGTATTTATTCACTTTACCCAGAGATTTCAGTGAGAAGTGTTCATTTAACTTATTTACAAAGATTTCCCTGCTCTCTTTATGCTTTCCAATGTATAAAATATCGTCCACGTAAATTAATACAAATTCAATATGATCATTACTCTTTTTTACAAAGAAACAGTTATCAGCAGTGGTGGCGCTGAAATCCATGGTCTTAAGTACTTTTACCAAGCAATCGTACCATCTTTTGCCGGATTGCTTTAATCCGTACAGACTCTTATTTAATAACCAAATTTCGTTCTTATTAGTGTATTGACTGTGTGGTGCTCTTACATATATTTCCTTATCTAATTTTGCATGTAAGTATGCGGTCTGTATGTCATATTGGAATACGTCCAGATTGAGTGCAGATGCTACTACAAGGGCTGTTTTGACACTCTCAGTTCTCACTGTGGGTGAATATGTATCAGTATAGTCTTCTGGATATTTTTGTGCATAGCCTTGTGCAACTAGTCTAGCCTTGTATAAGGTATTGCCTCCTTCTAAGTTCTTAATTTTATAAATCCACCTGGTACCTATAATTGTTTTATCCTTAGGTGCGATCGCAGGTGTGAATACATTTAATCCTTGTAAACTTTCCATCTCTTTTTCCATAGCTAGTTCCCATTTTTCTCTTTCTTCATGTGGAAGTTTCAATACTTCTTCATATGTATTAGGTGTTATTTGTTCTCCATTCATATGCATTATGTAATCTTTGTATTTATTTGGTATTTGGTTTCTATTGTTTCTAATAGTTCTTTCAGGCTTGCTATGGTTATCATGCAAATATCTAGCTTCCTTTTTTGTTAATGTGTCTGTCTTTATTTTATGCTGACTATTAGTCCAAGTTTTGGTTTTGTTCTTACTTTTGTTAATATTTTGATTTTCTGTTGTTCCTTCCTCGCAAGATATCGTATCTTTACATTTATTAGGAAATATTTCATTAAGGTGCAATTTTGACCAATTGGCCTGTTCATGGAACACAGCTGTTCTGGATACTATAAATTTGTTATTACTATCAATAAATCTGTACCCTTTGGTTCCAGTTTCGTATCCCATGAATCTTAATCTCCTGGATACGTTTTCTCCCTTTCTCCTCAATTGTTTAGGTATGTGTACGTCTGCAGTGACTCCAAATATGTGCATGTGTGATAATTTGGGTTTTCTATTGTACATCACCTCATATGGTGTCTTATTCACAATACTGGACCAGGTTCTATTTTGAGTGTAATTCGAATAATGTAATGCCTCTGACCAAAATTGTTTGCCTAAACCAGCATCCTCTAATGTGCACCTAATCATGGTTTGTAGTGTGGAATTTTTCCTCTCTGCAACTCCATTTTGAAATGCAGAAAAAGGATTGGACGTGAAATGTAACATTCCTCTATCCTTTAACCATTGGGAGAATTCTTTAGACATGAACTCACATCCCCTATCTGTCATAATTTGCTTTATTCTGATATTATGTTGTGTTTCTATACGTTTGTAGAATTCCTTAAATTTCTGAAATGTTTCATCCTTGTGCTTTAATGTGTAAACAAAACCATATCGGCTGTAGTCATCCACTATAGTTAGGAAGTAACGTTTTCTATAGGTAATTGAGGGACTTAATGGACCAACTAAGTCCATATGTACCAAATCAAAAATATTGTTAGTTGATCTGTTAGATTTTTTTGGTCTGGGACTGGTTTTTAGTTTGGTGGACTTACATACTGAGCATTCCAAATAATTTTCACAATTTTTTATTTTGACACCTTCTGCGTGTTCAGTCATTTTTTGTACTACAGGAAAGCTTGCATGTCCTAACTTCCTGTGTAAGATGTGAGCACACTCATCATGAATTGGTTTACCTATTTTTGGTTTCTTTTCCTTGTATGTATTTTTGTGATCATGAGTTATTCTACACTCATCATTGTCACTGTTACTGACATTTTCATCATCTGCTTCAATACAATCTTCCATATTTGAATCAATGTTATGTAAACATCTTTCTTTAGTTATCAGATAGGGTAGACCTCCTTTTATCATTACAGTACCTACATTTGTTTTGTTCTTTTCTATAGTTGCTTTCCCCTTTGAGAAAACTATATTGATATCAGATTCTCTGCTTAATTTTATGGCACTTAGTATGTTGTGAGGTATTTCTGGGATTAATAATACCCCCTCTATTTTCCCTAGACCAGGCAAGGTCACATTTCCTTTGCCTAGTACTTGAACCTTTTCTTGATTAGCTACCTTTATCACAAACTTATCTTCTATAAATGAAGATAATATACTTTTGTTGTTGGTGGTGTGATTTGTTGCACCAGAATCAATAAGCCAATTGTTATTCTCATCCTGCTGTGTTCTGGTGCTGTCTTGTTTATTTAGCCCATTCAGTGACCCAGATTTCCTCTCTTTTGAATTTTCTCTACCCCCTCTACCTTCTTTGTAATTTGGTGGGCTTCTATATTTGTGTCTATCTGTGGAAGATTGTCTGTAATTATATTTGCTCCTATATTCTGGTCTATGTCTCTCTCTTGAGACTTTGGGGCAGTCTCTTCTACTATGTTCCCTGGATCCACAATTGTAGCATCTAAAGGCCTCATTATGTTTATCTTGAAAGACTACTTTCCTAAAAGGTTTGTGGTCTGTTTGGTTACTGGATCGATTTTTTCTTGAATTGTCTTCTGCTATCAATTTGTTAGATAGACTTTCTATGGATAAATATCCCAGATTAATGGTATCTAAGTGTGACATAAAGCTATCCCATGATGGATCAAGTGAATTGATAATAACACTTTTCATTGTTTGATCTGAAATCACTTCCCCCCTCAATTGTAGCTCAGCTCTTATTTTGTTTAGATTTATCAAATGCTCACTTATAGAAATCCCTGGTTTTACTCTAGAGGAAAAGAAATCCTTAGACATTCTTGTGGTTGTAGCTACGCTATCGCTGTGAAATAGATTAAACATGCATTGAATTATTTCTGATACAGTTAGGTTTGGTTTGATGCTATGATACATTGCAGGAGACACGCTAGATATTATTATGAAAAATGCTCTATGATGTAAACAATCTATTTTTAAAGTCCAAGGTCTTCTTGGAGGGCTAGTTATAAAGAATAGTAAATTTTCTTTCATGAAAATAACCTGAAGCTGTTGATACCACTCTTGTAAATTAATGCCATCAA